ATTGGCATAAAAATCATACTGGCTTTAAAGCAGCAGGAAGGAGGAGTCTGACTGGCAAGAGTAAACGACTGCCTTTCCATTACCAAGAATCAAAGAAGAGAAGAGAGGGAATATTAGTGATCTATCAACATGACTAATGTAATGAAATTGAATCAATACAAATAAGTGAAAAAGGATGTGGAAATGATTAAACTGGGGATTTGCAGGTGTTGATCAGGTTTCTGGTGGTTTGCCTGTTGCACTGTCCTGTTGTCCTGTTGTCATGGAAACATTACATTCACCCAACATTAATGTGCAGTGTCTCCTTTCACAACCATTGAGGGGCATGCATGGCCCAGTATCCAAAGAGACACAATTTCACGATGTAAAGTTGCCTCCCTTTGGCGTAACAGGACCCTATGATCATGGGTTCATATCACAGATTCCCCCTGATTATTCTGCTCAGTTTGTCAGCACCATGCACATGGGATTCACCAATGTCCTCACTTATTGAACTGACACATACAAGATAACCCCCATTTCCCTCACTCACTCAGGACTGTTGTATCCAGATACATGGTGTATCATGGCAGCTCTATCAGTGCATTCCTAATGTTCTTCTCAACCCCTGGGGTGGTCGTCACACAAACATGAACTGAAGCCCCCATTTAGAATTCCTAAGGCCTACGAAAATTCTAAGAAGTTGTTTGAATACCCCCCCAGACATTTTGCATTATCAGTCAACATGACCGGATTGACATGAACAGGAATGTTACTTTTGTTCCACAGAAACATGACTGGGTCCATTTCTACAGACACTTCCCCAATTCTATTTTTGTACCAATTACTGTACAGTTACTGTGTCATCACAATTGCTGTACCCCTACTGTACAATCACAGTATCATCACAGTACAATCTGGGTCCAATGTGTGAAGCGCATTCTGGTGTACCCCACCATGATATTGCTGGTATGTTGCTAAAAGCGGTGTAAGAACAAAATTACTCTCACTCACGGCACAATCACAGTACCCTTATTCTACTGTCACGATACTCTTACTGTACCATCGCTGTACCCTATCTATACCATCACTGTACCCTCTGTGCCATCACTGTACCCTATCTGTACCATCGCAGTACCCTCTCTGTGCCATCACTGTACCCTCTCTGTACCATTGCAGTACCCTCTTTGTACCATAACTGTACCCTCTGTGCCCTCTCTGTACCATCGCAGTACCCTCTCTGTACCATAACTGTACCATTGCTGTACCCTCTCTGTACCATTGCTGTACCCTCTCTGTACGATCGCTGTACCCTCTCTGTACCATAACTGTACCCTCTTTGTACCATAACTGTACCTTCTGTGCCCTCTCTGTACCATCGCAGTACCCTCTCTGTACCATAACTGTACCATTGCTGTACCCTCTCTGTACGATCGCTGTACCCTCTCTGTACCATAACTGTACCCTCTCTGTACCATAACTGTGCCCTATCTGTACCATAACTGTACCCTCTCTGTACCATAACTGTACCAATGCTGTACCCTCTCTGTTCCATTGCTCTACCCTTTCTGTACCTTTGCTGTACCCTATCTGTACCTTATCTGTACCATCGCAGTACCCACTGTGCCATCACTGTACCATTGCTGTACCCTCTCTGTACCATTGCTGTACCCTCTCTGTACCATTGCTGTACCCTCTCTGTATCATCGCAGTACCCTCTTTGTACCATAACTGTACCCTCTGTGCCCTCTCTGTACCATCGCAGTGCCCTCTCTGTACCATAACTGTACCATTGCTGTACCCTCTCTGTACCATTGCTGTACCCTCTCTGTACCATTGCTGTACGATCGCTGTACCCTCTCTGTACCATCGCAGTACCCTATCTGTACCATAACTGTACCCTCTATGTACCATAACTGTACCCTCTGTGCCCTCTCTGTACCATCGCAGTACCCTCTCTGTACCATTGCTGTACCCTCTCTGTTCCATTGCTGTACCCTTTCTGTACCTTCGCTGTACCATAACTGTACCATTGCTGTACCCTCTGTGCCATCACTGTACCCTATCTGTACCATCACTCTACCCTCTTTGTACCATAACTGTACCCTCTGTGCCATCACTCTACCCTCTCTGTACCATAACTGTACCATTGCTGTACCCTCTCTGTACCATCACTGTACCTCTGTATGTTCCGCTTAGTTATTATATTGACCCAATGATCGGGGCCAACTCCAATACAATGTTGCCATCGGACACACATAGCTACAATCATGGTTCAGGGATATCTCTCTCAATATTTAACAGATTTAACAGATGTTTTAGGTAAATGTGTCATTTTCTCAATCATGAGATGTATTTCTTTTAAAACTACTCCATGTACTTCCCAAGTGTTCATGAAATCCCTGAACCAGGAAGTAAGCCGTGTGTCCTGATACTCACCCATAGCCTTACCATGTACACAGAGCCTATGTCTGCATGTTGTAGAGGGAACCAGTGAATCCATGTGTGGTGTGTCAGTGTAAATACTTGGGATATGAAGAGACTGTACACTATTTTCATAATGTACCCTGAATGTATGTTGTGTAGTGTATTTATTTGTACAAAGTGTACAGATTGTATAACTGTGAATAAATCATGGCTACTGAGGATTGTGTATGTTTTCTTTAGTTATTCCAGCTTATATCAAGGGGGCAATATTCCAGCTTTATCAAGTAGGCCTGTAAATTAATATCAGCAATTTTTAGTTATACGAAAGAGGGCTGTAAATTTACATAAGTGATATTAACTCTCACCCAGGAATATCAGTACCTGATAGTAAGAGAAATTATCAGCACCATCAGGGCACGAGAAGACAGGTCACACCATCAGGGCATGATGACATACAAGAAGCCAGGTCACCCGCCATCAGGGCATGACACACAAGAAGACAGGTCACACACTATCAGGGCATGACACACAAGAAGCTAGGTCACACACCATCAGGGCATGATGACATACAAGAAGCCAGGTCACACACTATCAGGGCATGACACACAAGAAGCCAGGTCACACACCATCAGGGCATGATGACATACAAGAAGCCAGGTCACACACCATCAGGACATCATGACATACAAGAAGCCAGGTCACACACCATCAGGGCATGACACACAAGAAGCCAGGTCACACACCATCAGGGCATGATGACACACAAGAAGCCAGGTCACACACCATCAGGACATCATGACATACAAGAAGCCAGGTCACACACCATCAGGGCATGATGACATACAAGAAGACAGGTCACACACCACCAGGGCATGACACACAAGAAGACAGGTCACCGACCATCAGGGCCTGATGACACAAAAGAAGCCAGGTCAAACACCATCAGGGCATGATGACATACAAGAAGCCAGGTCACACGTCATCAGGGCATGACACACAAGAAGCCAGGTCACACACCATCAGGGCATGGTGACACAAGAAGACAGGTCACACACCATCAGGGCATGATGGCATACAAGAAGACAGGTCACACACCATCAGGGCATGACACACAAGAAGCCAGGTCACACACCATCAGGGCATGGCGACACAAGAAGATAGGTCACACACCATCAGGGCATGATGACATATAAGAAGACAGGTCACACACCATCAGGGCATGACTACACAAGAAGACAGGTCACACGCTATCAGAGCATGAACACACGAAGACAGGTCACATGCCATCGGGGCATGATGACACACAAGAAGACAGGTCACACGCCATCAGGGCATGGCACACAAGAAGACAGGTCACACACTATCAGAGCATGACTACTAAAGAAGCCAGGTCACACACCATCAGGGCATGATGACACACAAGAAGACAGGTCACACACCATCAATGCATGACACACAAGAAGCCAGGTCACACGCCATCAAGGCATGACACACAAGAAGACAGGTCACACACCATCAGGGCATGAAACAAAAAAACAGCCAGGTCACACACCTTCAGGGCATGACAACACAAGAGGCCAGGTCACACACCATCAGGGCATGACAACACACGAAGCCAGGTGACTGGAACACCTCATACCCAGTTCCCTGGTACCGTCTCTGCAATTCCCGCACGACGAGATAGGTATCAAGGAATTGATCTTTGGGTACATATGCATTATACTGGACAACTATCTGCCATGTTTGTTTGATGCAACTAATAAAACCGATCACTATTTGACAAAATAGGCTTTACTTACGAAAGCATTTAATTCAAGTCGTTGAGTGGGGGGCGCGCCCCCTAAACACCCAGTTATGTTAGCGAGGCGACAAAAATGGTGTCTGAAAAACACAGAAACCGCTACTAAGGAATGAGCTCGTGTGCATCCCATACTAAAATGGTGGAAGATGTCCGGTATACTACATTCTTGCCGGTCTTTGATAACACTGATACTATTACCAAGCAGATGGTCACATGATAACCTCTATGTGTGATCACACAGGTCGCAGATCATTACAGCATGGCTGACAGCACCTCACAGCTGACAAAACGGGTATGTAAACATTAATGACACATTCCTCATGTATCAAAAGTTTTAATCTTGGACAACTGAAAATAAACTTTCTTATTCAGCTATTTCTTTCATTCACGTATTCTACCAATAACCTGACAGGTTTTAATGAGAGACAAAGTAACATTAAACACTTGCTTAAAACGCTGTTTGTTCAGGTGAATACTTGACTTGCCTTTGCATGTGTTTGTGACATATAGCGATTCATAAACACAATGCTTATGGTATTGTCGGATTCATACCATGGACTCAGCTTTCAGCAGATTTCATATGATTATTGAAAGGGTTTTGTTGTTTCTATTCATAGAAATCTATTCATAGAAGTTCACACAATAAAAGGTATAATGGAAAGACCTTCTCTTTCTACTGTCCAAAAATTGATTAAAAATCATTTTTCCTCACACAGAGTTTCTTCGTTGGGTTTGAACATGGGCAAAGCTAAGACATCTTAAACAGAATCAAAACTGATAAGAATCAGGAGTTACTCCCCTTGGTAAAATGGCTGTCAAGTAAACCTCTTGTAAGCTTTACAAGACACTTTCTTCAAATTCTTAATTAGTTCTGCGGCGATCACGACTTACATTTGTCATTTGTATAACGTAACACTGTTTTATAAATATTATTTCAGTGTAAATGCTGTGGGCGTTTAGGCATTTCCTGGAATTATCGTAAAATGATTCTCGAACATAAATCGTGTGTCAAGGGACACGAAATTCAGGCCAATGCCTCCTTAGCTTGGAGTGAAAAGAAAACCAACTGATGCTTATGAAGTAATAGCTTTAACATTTAACATAATGCAGCCCCCCAACTCTGTTTTCTATTCTAGTCAGCATTTACTTTTTGTCTGTGAGGTTTCGTGGTCGAACGTGAATGTCAACTGTGATGTTGATCTGTTGTTGGGGATTTATCAAAGGAAAAATAATTTCAATCGATTCACATCATGGCACTAAGTCTTTAACTAGTTTCATCAAGTGTGCTTTTATATAAGAGATCACCATGCCTACTGAACATTGTGCTGGTAGTGGCAGATGTTCCATTAAAGCAATTTAAATAATTGGTGTGATTTACATTGATTATAGAATCTGTTTGCCACCCAATACTATGAATTGTATCATAAAAACTGTCAAGCAAAATTAATCAATATAACTTCACCACTCTCACATGCCTCTTCAAACTTAAGATTTACTTGTGTTAGGGTGCGGATAACTCTATCCTTAACCCCTGGATCAATGCATGAACATATTGGCATACAAATTCCATATGGGCTCCAAATAATTAAACTGGCTGATCTAAAGGGCAACAATTCTTCAACTTTGAATGTATTGACATATGGATGGCTTTTTCTTCATGGATTCAAAATTTGCTTCTTATGGACTATATTCTTGACTGGTTTAACTTGTGTTCAGCGCTAATGCATCTTGTGATTACACGGTCTAACTGAAGTGGTGCCAGCAAGGCGGCTGATAGTTCAAGTATAGTTGCCCTTTTAGTACGAGGGGTGTTCATTAAAGATTTCCCCTAAACCACTTAGGGTTATCATATTTGGTTGAAATTTCACATGTGTAATGATACATGTATCTATGGGTTATGTCTGAATTTGCAGCACCGAACTATTAATCTTACCACTTTTACAGGTGTTATGATCGAGTAGGGTATGACTATGGAGCAAGTAGAATACCGAGCAGTGATTAGGTTTTTATATTTGAAGCAACTTATGGGGAAGATGCCCCATCATATGACGTTGTTAAACACTGGCATTGCCAGTTCAAGTGTGGTTGGACATCTGTGGAAACAGCTGCCATTCCTGGTTGCCCCCATTCAGCCATTGATGAGGACACTATCCATCAAGTGGAGACCGCCATTTTGGCAGACCGACGTATAACTGTTCGCCAGTTAGCACAAGATTTTAAGATCAGTGCAGGGTCTGTGGAAAAAATCATCCATGACAATTTGAACATGCATAAGGTGTCTGCACGATGGATTCCCAGGTTGCTCACACCTTTCCAAAAGCAGGAACGAGTCAATTGCTCAAAGGATCTTTTGGACATGTGCCAAAAAAAACAGGCAAACTTTTTTGACAGACTTATCACACAGGATGAAACATGGGTCCATCACTATGATCCTGAGACTAAAGTTCAGTCGATGCAATGGAAGCATGTGGAGTCACCACCCCCAAAGAAGGCACGTGTCCAACCCTCTGCAGGCAAGGTCATGCTCACAGTGTTTTGGGACCTGTACGGAGTAGTGATGATGGATTTCTTGGCAAAGGGTACCACAATTACAGGAGCTTATTATGCTTCACTGCTGCAGAAATTGCGGGACGCTATCAAGCTTAAGAGGCGTGGCGTGCTGACCAAGGGTGTCCGTCTCCTGCAAGACAATGCTCCAGTACACAACTCTCATGTTGCCCAGACAGAAGCGCGGTCCTGTGGCTATGAAATCCTTCTACATCCTCTTTACTCTCCTGACCTTGCACCATCTGACTTCCACCTCTTTCCAACCATGAAGTCATTTTTGAAGGGAAAACGTTTCACAGATGATGAAACACTGATTTCTGAGGTCAAGTCCTGGTTTGAGACGCAAAATGAGGACTTTTACAAGCGAGGTCTCCATAGTTGCATAAAACGATGGGAGAAGTGTGTAACTCTTGGTGGTTCCTATGTGGAGAAAGACTAATACCTATGCCAAGTTTCATTCCACTAGGTCCATTGGAAGTGGGTCAGGGGAAATCTTTAATGAACAACCCTCATATGTTTAGCATAGTTGAGAGACCCATATTCAAAATCTTCTCTTCAAAGGAAAACCCAGACATTGCACTTCACAGTAAATAATCGTCCTGTTTCATAACAGTATCAAGCACATAAATGTGACATTAACTTATGCGCCCCATTTTAGTAGTTTATTTGATTTTGTTAGTTTGTTGTTTAACACAGCACTCAGCAATATTCCAGCTATATGACAGCAATATGTAAATAATCATATCCGGAGCAGACAATCCAGTGATTTGAGTATTTCATTTGAAGCAGTGATTCATTTTCAAATTAATCGGGGAGTCTTTTCAAATGGTGATGAAGTAATGTTGACAATTATTTTGTTTGAAATATTTCATGTCCAGTTTGTAGACATTGTTTGGCAGGGTTTGGGTAATTATTGGAGGCAGGAATGTATTGTATCTTGAAATTTGAGTCAGCAGTTAGTCAAAGTGTTTTTTTAAAGACTACATCAATTTTCTGAACTGCGAGTTGGCCAGAGCCTAGTCACTGTTTAAGTCATAAAGACAATTCTCAGCATGCTCAGGAGCAAACATACATCGACCCGTGAGGATCCGGGGTGGAATAGGTCTTCAGCAACCTATACTTGCCGTAAAAGGCGACTATACTTGTCGTAAAAGGCGAATAACAGGATCCGGTGGTCAGGCTCGCTGACTTGGTTGATACATGTCATCGATCCAAATTGCGTGGATCGATGCTTATGATGTCAGTCACCGGATTGTCTGGTCTAGACTCGATTATTTTACACACTGCCGTCATATAGCCAGAATATTGCTGAGTGCGGTGTTAAACAACAAACATACATACTGCAAACATACATCACTGAAATGTCTTGTCAGTTTAATTCAGTCCTATTCTTTTTCCAGACAGTACACAAATGTGACCAGCTGATGTGGCTGCAGTGTTCCTGAAGCAGCTGTTTTTTTTGGATACTCAGCAGAATGAAAAAGAGAAAACACACAATGATGACAAAGACACAAAGTGAAACAAAGCGGAAACTGAATGTTTCCCAACAAAGCACACCCCAAGATATGGCTGATTTGCTGTCATGCACATTTATACAGATGGTGGTCTTGAATAATGAACTGGAAGTTTCACTGAAGGTACAGTCTGGTAGTGACAGAGAGGTACTCAAACTGCTTCAAGATGGCATCACCAAGTTTGAAAATGTTTCAGCAGAAATACATTCTTCGAAAAACATGTGTGCATGTGTTGAATGTGGGTCCCACGATGCTGTGAAGTGTAAGGTGCTTGCGTTCAATATAAGAGTGGATGAAGAGATTTACAAATGTTCCAAGTGTAGGGACGTGAAAGTGAGTCAATCCCGGCCATGTACTGGTGAAACTGAACACTGTAGAAGTGACACCAGTGCAAAGGATAATAACGATGCAGATATTCCTGTGACAGAAGAAGTGGATCTCAGGAGTTTCAGAAAATTAAAATTCAGTGTCCCAGGTGAGAATGAGGCAGCTGTCAAAGTTTCGGAATCTGAAACTATGAGCGTAGAAACCAGTGACAGTAGAAAGTTGAGGAGGCGAACAAGGAAACAAGATGCTCAGTTTGTTGAAAATGTCAGTGAAGATGAAAGCGACATGAAGGTAGGCCATGTTGAGGATAGCGACAATGATGCCACATTTCACATCAAGGAGAAACATGTGTTCGATGAGGAAGAAGCAAAGCATTCTGGGAAAAGAAAAAGGAAACCAGATATAAAAATAAATAAAAAATCATCCTCTCACATGTGCAATATATGTGGAAAACAGTTGTTAAATATAAAAACTTTAAAAAGTCACATGACCACACATTCGGCAGGAGATGGTCACACATGCAAGATTTGTAACAGGAAGTTTTCGCACATACGATATCTCAAGAAACATGAGAAGACACACACTAAAGACAAGCCATATTCCTGTGAAATATGTGGGCAGAGATTCAAGCTGAAAGAATCCGTGCCCAAGCACATGGTGCTCCATGGTGGTGTGAAGCCTCACAAGTGTGATGTGTGTCACAAGGAATTCCACCTGGAGGAGCAGATGAAAAAACATCGACAGATACACACGGATGAACGCAAGTTTATTTGTGAGCTGTGCGGGAAACGTTTCAGGACTCAGGGAAGCATGAAATCTCACAAAGATACTCATGAGGGTCCGTTGAAGCACAGCTGCGACCAGTGCGGGAAGAGTTACCGCAGTGCGTGGTATCTCAAGATCCACAGAAAGACTCACACCGGGGAGAATTTGATCCAGTGTCACACCTGCGGGGATTGGTTCATCGATCCCTGCTACTTCAAGCTACATCAGAAGAAGTTCTGTAAGGGCAAGCCGCTGGCTTGCAGCATGTGTGATCTGGAGTTCCCTCACAACCAGGCCCTACAGAGCCACATGGGACTCCACACTGGCGAGAGGCCCTTCGGCTGCAAGATCTGTGGCAAAGCTTTTGCCAAGGCCCCACTGCTGGCTGAGCACACAAAGAGACACACCCTGGAGAACTGCCACACCTGTCAGTATTGTAAGAAAGGCTTCATTAATAACAAGGAGCTGAAGAGACACGAGAAATGTCATGTGAACAAAAAGAAGAAAGCTAGTCTTCCGGAGAGACTTAAACCAGGGCGAATGGATACCCAGGTTGTGCAGGTCCAGGAGCAGGTCCAGGAGCAGGTCCAGCACCTGGACCAGGTTGCCGTGGAGGTAGAGACTACAGGGCAGTTGGCAGTCTGCCAGTTCCACCAAAACACAAGCCACCTTCAAGTTGTGACTACTCCCCCTGATATAGCAGTACCTGCTGGGGAGTCCTGCAACAGGTACATCCCCAACTCCATCATGGACCATGCCAGTGCCTCCACCTACACCATCACCTCGGTCAGGCCCGACCTCGACAACTCTGGCGCCAGCACTCAGGTTTTGGATTCTCGTGGCGGCCACATCACGGTCCACGACTCCATCCCCATCACCCACGTGTACACTAGTCCTTCACCTGCAACTGTCCACTTCACGCCCCCCCCGTCCTTCAGCATGCCCCGCCCACTTCCCCCTCCGGCTAGCATTGTCTCTACCCCAGAAGGAGAGCAGCTGCAGCAACTGCATCCCATCTCAACAACGTCAGACATCAACATGGCGTACGAGAATGAGGCTTCAGTGCAGCATCTCCTCCAGGCAGCAGCAATCATCAAGAACTATCCGTCTCATTACTGATATGGAGGATGATCAAAGCATCCCTGTGTCGGGTTTCACAAGAACTATCCGTCTCACTACTGATATGGAGGATGATCAAAGCATCCCTGTGTCGGGTTTCACAAAAACTATCCCTCTCATTACTTCTTCCTGTTGGGATTCTGAATTAGAATTTGTTCCCATCAACTTTTGCTGGTCGTAAGAGGTGACATAATGGATTGGACGGTCAGATTCAGTGACTTCGTCATCATACAATCACCCCGACAACATGGATCATTGCTCATAATATCAATCGGCGTTAAATAACAAACTTGCAAACACACTTCTCATTGCCGAGTAAGCATGGTGCAGCTTTGAACATTATTCTTGTGAGCTGACAGCGTCAGTGTGGGGTTTAACAAGGATTTGTTGTGCACTCTGTCCACTTGACAATCATGTTTGCTGCAGGCAATCAGTTTGGGACAGTTTACCGACATTCTGCTCAAGAGCTTCAAGTACGGTACAGCTGTCATCAACTTGTTGCGACTGAAGGCGTTCGTTTGTTACAGTAGATCTATTGATGTTATGCCCACAACTGTATTTTGTGAAGTTTATGTTTATGCAAATGTTTGTGTTGTAGCAGATATTTTATCATGTATTTTGGCAACATCTTTCCAGACTTTGCGGAAACAGTGTTCTTGTTATGGATACCGGACTTCGTATGGACTATGATCAATGTGCATATCGTACCAGGGTTTGTTTGTTATTTTTGCCAAAATCTGGGGTTGTTTTAAAGGTGGACATTTAGAGAGAAAAAACACTGTCAGGTCTATTATCATGTCTGTCATATATATACACTATATATGTACTATGAACTTGCAGGTTTTACAGTGGGAGTTATTTCCCCTACCTCATTATGCCTTTATAAGTGTAGATTGGGAGAGAATGGGGCCAAGTGGTAAAAATATTCACATGTCCCACTGAAGGCCTGGGTTTCATTCCATAAATGGGTAAATTGTAGGAAACACATTTCTGGTGACACCTCTGTGACCTTGCTGGACGATTGCTTGCAGCAACATAAACCCAACTCTCTCATCCCAAGACCAGTTTAATTATTTCATATTTTTTTTTACAGATATCCTTTCAATTTTTAGCAACGTTAGAAAAACAGGTCCTTTTTCTCCATGTTTTGTCAGGTTGAAGGGAAGAGTGTTCAGTGCTGTAAGTCATGAAATTAGGGATTGGCCATTTGATATTTGAGAGGGAGGGCGGGGCGGGATTTTATCTATCGAAAAAAATAAATTGTCCCCAAAAGTTCTTGTAAAATATAATTTTGCTTCAGACTGTTGAAAAAAAAGGAATTGCATGCCACCCTGTAGGTGAAAAATATATCAATTGTATCAATACGAATTCCCAGGTTTACCCTTATTTGTTTCCTCTCTCTGGGGCAGTCAGGTAGCCTGGTGGTTAAAGCGTTCGCTCATCAGGCCGAAGCCCCGGGTTCGATTCCCGACCTGGGTACAATGTGTGAAGCCTATTTCTGGTGTCCCCTGGCGTGATATTGCTTGAATATTGCTACAAGCGGCGTTTAACCTTACTCACTCCTCTCAAGTGACGTTTTTACAATTGTTGTCAGTATTGATGATGAAAAGCTTGTTAGTGAAACCGTTGTGAGAATCTGGATGTTGCGGTGGATGACCTACAGTGGAGACCTGTGTTTGATTTAAATCCTCCTCAGATGTACTTTGCATTTATGTAACAATTAAATAAGCAAAAATACAGCCATTCACATCATGTTTCTGTGTCCTCTGTGAAATTGATCACTGATACTTTCCGTTGTCATGTGAAATATTTCTCATCTCATGCAGGTGATTGCCAGACCTCATTTTCTCCTTTTACATGGACATAGTTTAGATAGTAACTGAACTAAACTAGTCCCGTTTTCTTCATATATGCTCTGAGCTGTCAATGAAAACATGTATACTGTCTTTGTACATGGTAGGGTTTTATTATCGCCGGTAGAGTCCATCTAGTGCAGTGCGTAATATATCATGGCAGATTTGATCTATAAAAATCCTACAAATGATTTTCAAAACCTAGTAAATAAACTTCATTCCATAAACGTTCTATAAAAACAGAGAAAACATGACAGTGTGACAAAAGAGGCCACTAAACCCAGAAATTCAACATTTTCAGAATTAAGTTTTTTTTGGGGGGTAGGGGGTATGTCTCAAAACTTAAGGAACTAAGTCTTTAAACTGACATCAAACTTTTGAACTGGTCTCTTACTATGAGTGAGGGAGTTAAAAAAATATATGCCATATTGAACAGTATTGTATTTTATCACGGCGTGTCAGCTTGAAGATCTGGGGTAGAATAGGTCTTCAGCAGCCCATGCTTGCCGTAAAAGGCGACTATGCTTGTCGAAAGAGGCGACCATCGGAATCTAGTGGTCAGGCTCGCTGACTTGCATGGATCGGTGCTCATGATGTCAATCACTGGATTGTCTGGTCTAGAGTCAATCATTTACAAACAGCCGACATATAGCTGGAATATTGCTCAGTGCGTGTCAAACATCAACCAAACAAACGTGAGAGGAAACCCTGAAGTGATGCAGGTCTTTGACTTTAACCACTTCGGTGAAACCAACTAAAGAATGAAAAACAATTTTTCCAAACTTTTGGAACATATCAGAATCACTTCCAGACAATGTTCACATGTCCCTGGCTCCAAGATTAGGGAGCTGTGAGGCAAGTGGTCAGTTGTCACGGGCTGCCCCCACAACACACGATACACAAAGGGACACTGACACACAACGGGACACTGACACACAATGGGATGCTGACACACAACGGGACACTGACACACAACGGGACACTGACACACAATGAGACACTGACACACAACGGGACACTGACACACAACGGGACACTGACACACAATGAGACACTGACGCACAACGGGACACTGACACACAACGGGACACAGACACGCAATGGAACACTGACACGCAATGGGATGCTGACACACAACGGGACACTGACACACAATGAGACACTGACACACAATGGGACACTGACACACAATGAGACACTGACACTCAACAGGATACTGACACACAACGGGACACAGACACGCAATGGGATGCTGACACACAATGAGACACTGACACACAACAGGATACTGACACACAATGGGACACTGACACACAATGAGACACTGACGCACAACAGGATACTGACACACAACGGGACACAGACACGCAATGGGATGCTGACACACAACGGGACACTGACACAAAATGGGATGCTGACACACAATGAGACACTGACACACAATGGGATGCTGACACACAATGGGACACTGACACATAATGAGACACTGACACACAATGGGACACTGACACACAATGAGACACTGACACACAACGGGACACTGACACACAACGGGACACTGACACACAATGAGACACTGACACACAACGGGACACTGACACACAATGAGACACTGACGCACAACAGGATACTGACACACAACGGGACACTGACACGCAATGGGATGCTGACACACAACGGGACACTGACACACAATGGGATGCTGACACGCAATGGAACACTGACACACAACGGGACACTGACACACAATGAGACACTGACACACAACGGGACACTGACACACAATGAGACACTGACGCACAACAGGATACTGACACACAACGGGACACTGACACGCAATGGGATGCTGACACACAACGGGACACTGACACACAATGGGATGCTGACACGCAATGGAACACTGACACACAACGGGACACTGACACTCAATGGGATGCTGACACACAACGGGACACTGACACACAATGAGACACTGACACACAATGGGATGCTGACACACAATGAGACGCTGACACAATGGAATACTGACACACAAGGGATGCTGACACACAATGAGACGCTGACACACAATGAGACACTGACGCACAATGAGACACTGACACACAATGGGACACTGACTGGCAATGAGACACTGACACACAACGGGTCCTGTCTCTCACAGTAGCCACACGAGAGTTCATCAGTTCAGTTGACTCCCTGTGAAACCATAGGACACTTGGAATGTATTCTGACCTTGAATCTCTCGTCACATTGATAGAGTTAACATAAAACAAAAGGCATACATAATTATTTTTATTGTCACTCAAATACCATACATTCAACTCTCAATAACAACTTAATCACTGCGTCTCAACAAATAATACAACTAGTCAGCTTAACAAATGATTCATCTTCCCTAACAAAGAGGTAGACACACAAAATTCCTACTGCAGAAATTGGATGACTGTGAATATGTAATGAAAAACAAACTAGAGGCATGTGACCAGTCTTCACAAATAAGGGGGGGGGGGCCTTTAATGTTGGCTCTGGTAGTAGTTGAATCTCTGGACCCACTAAATGTTTAACTTCGGAAATTAGGTTAATGTCAAGGACCACTTGCATTTCATGCTTATTCCCAACACTGATGTCAGTGTAAATTTGAAGAAGAAACAAAATTGTTAAAATTGTTGCAGATCGTGGATATTTACCACTGGTGAAACCAAGCCATACTTGTCTTTTTGTTTATTGCCACAATCAGCAGAATTCCTGCGATATGCACCAGACAATCCGGTGATTAATGGACTTATACAAGTATGTTTCAAACAGAGGGGGTGAGAACCTTGCATGCCCACTCTGGAACCGCATGTTTTCATTTGTGGCAATTCTTTGAATCACGTGGATCTCATGGGATCCTGAAGTATTGGAGTGAGTGAGTGAGTGAGTTGGGTTTAACGCCGCTTTTAACAGTATTCCAGTTATATCACGGTGTGTCAGCTAAATGTGGGAGGAAAGCCCGGAGTGATGCAGGTCTCGGACGTTTACCACTTCGGTGAAACCCACGAGCAGGGGTATGGTGCTGACAAACCTAGAAACATAATCGGGGCAAACCGGGATTCGAAAAACAAGAGTCAGCTGCCTTTGAAGAAGACAAGTTACAACACTGCTGGTGGAAGTCGATCAAGTACACAGGTAGCTCCCACTGCTGGTGGAAGTCGATCAAGTACACAGGTAGCTCCCACTGATGGTGGAAGTCTGACCAAGTACACAGGTAGCTCCCACTGCTGGTGGAAGTCTGACCAAGTACACAGGTAGCTCCCACTGCTGGTGGAAGTCGATCAAGTACACAGGTAGCTCCCACTGCTGGTGGAAGTCGATCAAGTACACAGGTAGCTCCCACTGATGGTGGAAGTCTGACCAAGTACACAGGTAGCTCCCACTGCTGGTGGAAGTCTGACCAAGTACACAGGTAGCTCCCACTGCTGGTGGAAGTCTGACCAAGTACACAGGTAGCTCCCACTGCTGGTGGAAGTCTGATAGAGTACACAGGTAGCTCCCACTGCTGGTGGAAGTCTGACCAAGTACACAGGTAGCTCCCACTGCTGGTGGAAGTCTGATAGAGTACACAGGTAGCTCCCACTGCTGGTGGAAGTCTGACCAAATGCACAGGTAGCTCCCACTGCTGGTGGAAGTCTGACCAAGTACACAGGTAGCTCCCACTGCTGGTGTAAGTCTGATCAAGTACACAGGTAGCTCCCACTGCTGGTGTAAGTCTGATAGAGTACACAGGTAGCTCCCACTGCTGGTGGAAGTCGATCAAGTACACAGGTAGCTCCCACTGCTGGTGTAAGTCTGATAGAGTACACAGGTAGCTCCCACTGCTGGTGGAAGTTGATCAAGTACACAGGTAGCTCCCACTGCTGGTGGAAGTCGATCAAGTACACAGGTAGCTCCCACTGCTGGTGGAAGTCTGACCAAGTACACAGGTAGCTCCCACTGCTGGTGGAAGTTGATCAAGTACACAGGTAGCTCCCACTGCTGGTGGAAGTCTGATAGAGTAAGCAGGTAGCTCCCACTGCTGGTGGAAGTCGATCAAGTACACAGGTAGCTCCCACTGCTGGTGGAAGTCTGACCAAGTACACAGGTAGCTCCCACTGCTGGTGGAAGTCTGACCAAGTACACAGGTAGCTCCCACTGCTGGTGGAAGTCTGATCAAGTACACAGGTAGCTCCCACTGCTGGTGGAAGTCTGATAGAGTACACAGGTAGCTCCCACTGCTGGTGGAAGTCTGACCAAGTACACAGGTAGCTCCCACTGCTGGTGGAAGTCGATCAAGTACACAGGTAGCTCCCACTGCTGGTGGAAGTCTGACCAAGTACACAGGTAGCTCCCACTGC